TAACCTACTACTCTCTCTCTCTCTCTCTCTCTCTCTCTCTCTCACACACACACACACACCCGCGCGCACACATAAATCTCTTCTCCCTAGTTTCTCTAAGTCTCTTTTCCCTATTTTATCTCATCCTTACCAAGCTCCATATCTCTCCCTTATCTTTCCCATATCTAAATCCATCTCTATCTAATCTTTCATAAATCTCTAAGTAAATCTCCTATCAAGATTAGTTCCTATCCATTCTCCAAGATCCTCTTAACAACTCATGCACCAAAATTCTTCCTCCCCTATTAATTATCCCAACGCACTTCTTATTCTTAAGAAAAAGAAATAAAAATAAAATTAAATAACTACAATTTTATTTGCATCATTCTCCCTGGGTTGAGAGAAGCTCAACCTCAAGCTTGACTCAAAGTGGATCCCCTTCATCACCATGCAGAACTATCTCTTGAACTTGATTTTCTTCTAGAACTTTATCCACTTCCTTAACCAAGTATACCTCCATCCTCTTTTATAGGCATTCATATGCACGGTGCCCTGGCTCTTTGTATCGATAACACATGAACTTTGCAGTATCCCTTTTCTTTTCATTAAATTTTGGCGGGCGCGAAACCTCCTTCTGAGTGTAAAATTGCTTATTGCTGCTCCATTGATGTATAGTTTGTACTCGTAAAGCAACTTGAAAGCTTCACTTAAATTCCATGGTCAATGTAAAAAACTTAGTCCCTAATGGTTTGTTGAAGGTCATTTACATATCGAGCAACATTTTGTCCTTCTGTCTCTTAGAGGTTGTTTCAAGCAACTAATCGATAAAACTCCCTAGTATAATCTTCCACTTTTTTCTCATTCTGTCGAAGATTTTGGAGTTCTTGAAAGAAAATTTGCTCTTGATCCAGAAGAAGAAAATTTTCTTTCAATTTCTTTTTCATCTTTTGCCAGTCGGTAATTTTTCATTTTCCACTACGAAATCGGGATTGTTGAACTTTCTCCCATCAGGCGGCAGCATACCTACGGAGCTTGGTTGCAAAAAGTTTAATCTTACATTCCTCAAGCAATTAACACCATTCAAAATAAACTTCAACCGCACTTAACCAATCAATAAAAGCTTCTATGTGGAGCTTACCATAAAATTCCAAGAGATCGACTTTAATATTAAAATCTCGTGGTCGCTCTATAGGATGCGGATCTCATCTTGCGAATTTCTTCTTGACATTCTGGATCAGCAGCCTAGGTCGGTCGGGAAGCTTGATTTCTCTCTACGGTGAGATTTGATGCCAAGTTGAGGTTGCGAGCGCCCTCTTCTTGATGAATGGTGTCCTCCAATCGTTGCAACCTCATATCCAACCATTGCATCCCCTGATTGGTTTCACTTATTTCTCGTCGAACATCCTCCAACGTAGTATTCAAGCTCTCTTGAATTTGCTTACCAATATAATCCATAAGTTGCGGTAATATATCCTCGAACATAAGAGCAGGTTTCGACGCCCTTGTAATTGTTGGATCTCTAGATCTTGCATACTCTGATACCAACTGATGCAGGGAAAAAATAATAACCAATCAAAAAATAAAGATAAAATAAAAGTTTAAGATATTATACCTTCTCCCAAAGTTTGTAAGGGAGTCCACTCTAAAAACGATCTTTTCACAATATCAACTTTATTCAATTCAAATCTTTTCACAAGATCAACTATTCTCAATTCTTATTCTTTGATCAATATCTAATCATCTTCAATGAAGGGACATCTCCCTTTAAATAAACTTTAGGGGGAAAAAAAAAAGCCACAATAAATAAAACCCTCTCTTTCACACCCTAAAACTCTCTCTTTCTCCCTCTCTATCTCTTTCTCTCACACACACACATATGCACAAATAAATCTCTTCTCCCTATTTTCTCTCGATCTCTTTTTCTATTTTCTCTCATCTATACTAGCCTCCATATCTCTCCCTTATTCTTCCCATATCTAAATCTTCCATAAATCTCTAAATAAATCTTCTACCAAGTTTAATTTCTATCCATTACCCAAAATCCTCTTAACAACTCACGCACATTCTCCCAGTTAACATAAAGTCATGGACCAAAATTCTTCCTACCCTATTAATTATCCCAACTCACTTCCTATTCTTAAGAAAAAGAAATAAAAGAATAATAAATTAAAAAAGTAAAATAACCCTAATTTTATTTGCATCAGTACATGTTTGACGTCCTTTAACACTAGTTTCATCCTAATATTAATCTTAATGTGTACATCTCTCTTACCCACAACCTTTAAGGAACCATTGTTCTCATCTTTATAGAGCCAAAATCTCCCACTCTATAAAAAGTAAAACATCTATGTGGGGTAACATGAAACTATGCTTTAGTATCCACACCCTAGTCAATATTTCACAAACTTGAAGCAATATTGATGCACCCATCACCACAGTTTCTAACCACGCCAACATATATCATCACTATAGTGATTTTCCAATCATCATTCTTGGTATTGTCATCATTCTGCTCTTTCTTGAGCTTCCGGGACTTTTTCTTGATGTGTTTATTCTTGCCATAATGATAACATGTGACCCTCTTTCTAGACTTCGATTTAGCTTTATCGTTAGATTGGTTTTGGTCCCTATTCTTGGACCTTCCTCGAGTTGGATGAGTTGGAGAATTTTCTTCTTGTTTCCTCATTCAGCAAGCTACTAGTGACTTGACTCTTGGTCACTATCCAATCAATTGTTGAGTTGCTTATGGAAACTACCAAGGTCTCCTGCCTATTCGGTATTAAACAAAACAACATAACTTGTAGCTCATATTCTAGGGACAACTTCATCATTGTGACTTGGTTAACAATGTTTTGCACCTCATTGAATTGCTCTACAATGGATCTCCTATCCTTGAACTTCATGTTCACTAATTTTTGGATTAAGAATACATTATTTCAAATGGCCTTTCTCGTATACAAGTCATGTAGCTTATCCCACAATGAAGTGTCAAATAAATGAATTGGCAGATGTCTTATCTGACACATGGTGAAACACATTTTCTTCGAACCACTGTTGGATGGTTCTGAGAGCCTTTCGATCAAGTCTCTTCAACTTATCGTCGCTCATACCTTCGGGCTTGTGTTCTACCCCTACAATGGGTATGTGCAAGTCCCTACTGTATAGAAGATCTTCCATCTCCGGCTTTCAGATGATTCAATTATTCTAGTTGAGCAATATCATCTTGCTCCTAGTATTGGAATCTGTCTTTAATCCCCACACACCACTCTTCTACACCCCTCTTCTTTTTATCGGCAGTTTGGGAGAGTCGTCGTCTGTCAAGGTTTCATCAACGGTCAATGTTCCACTGGCTATTAAGGTATCATCGGTGGTCAAGTTCCCACTGGTTGTCAATGTCTCGTCAGCGGTCAAGCTCCGACTAATTGTCAAGGTCTTGTCAGTGGTCATGCTCCCACTAGTTGTCTAGATCTTGTCAGCAGTCAAGCTTTCACCGACTGCCAAATTGTCACCATCAGTCAAGATGAGTCACCTGCAGCCAAAGTGCTTCACTGTTGGTCAAGGTAGTAATCGATGGTTCATTGTTCAAGACATTCTTTGCACATGGGCCACTCAATAGCAGTCTTTGACTGACGATGTGTCCCAAACGCTCCGTTCGGTGGTGAAATGGATCCAGCCTTCAAGGAGGTTGTTTCCTTGCTCGTCCTACAACCGCTAGGCTCGCTACACTTGCAAATGATGATAGGGATGACCAACAATGTATCGAAGTCAAGGAAAAAATGTGCTCTGATACCATTTTGTTGGGCTCACCCATTTGAGCCGTCTTGTAAAACTACAGATGTGTACAACGGAACCCAAATTCTGTGGGACAAACACCAAATACTCTATGTGTGTATAATTGGGAAAATATGCAATAAAGTAAATAAATAACATATCGAGACATGCACTACAATAAACCCACATGAACTCTCTTTCTCTCTTTTTTCTCTCTAATAGGCTTCTCTCTCTCTACTTCTTCTCTCCACAAAAAAGATCATCGTATCTCTCTCTCTCCAAAGGTAGATGCACCTACCAAAAAGTAGAACTTGTTAATATTGGATAAGCCTAATTCCTCACATTTTAGGTTTTTATGTAAGAATGATATTGTTTTCTAAAATCTCTACCCCTTGGTTATCCATGGTAACAACCCAATGGGCTGTATTTCCAAACTGCCCTTTTAATGGCCAAAGGATGTGGATGTCCTCCCACATGGGACATACTCTCCCAGCACTGGCAGGCAAACCTAATGGATGCCTTTTAACATCATGTACTAACCCAAAAAGAAATAGGTGGACTTAAGATGTCATAATCAATTGGAAGAATATCCAATTTTTAGTGGATGGAGAAATAGAAGTTTTTCTCTTGTATTAAGGCCAAATTGGGGTTCTTTGCAGCTTTTTGCATGCATACTAATAGCACTGAGAATAATGGCCTGCCATGCTTGCACACTGCCCACTGTGAAGCAAGTATAAGGGACATATTTCTACAGTAAAAAAAGGTCGCACCAAACATGGCCTTACACTTCAGAGAAACAATTATATATGAATCGGCCTTTGCCTTTCTCCAGACGATGATTCTTCCATGTGCTTGCTACCTAAGTATTGTTCGTAGGAAGGTAACTATCTTTCAGGTAAGATCCTCGATGCAGGCATATTTGCTTCAAATATCAATAATTTTATGGAAATGATTAACATGCTATAGAAATGATTAACATGCACGTTATTATGTGCAGGTATTACTCTGCATTTTGATCCTTGTTATAGGAATTATATCCTCTGTGGTTGGAACGTACACAGCAGTTGCGGGTATCATTCGCAGCATGTGTTAATCTCTCTCCCTCTCTTTCTCTCTTTCAGTGGTTACTGATTCAAGAATGAGGATAAAATGTAGAACAAAAACATTTTCGCGATCTCTCACTCTCTCTTAAGATCCACAAATCTATAATAACTTATAAACTGATTGTCATAAAAAAATAAAAAAATTATTTGAGATTTGGTTTTCAATTACTTAGTGAATGATATCGTTGCCCACCAAACACAACAAAAGTTCATTTTCTATTTCGTGACAATATTTGAAGCACTCAATCTTCATTGACCATTATGCGGATTTGAGGTATGATTGAGGTTCCTCTAAGATGCCCACCTTATATTATATAAACAAGGTACACCTCCAAATTTTGTTGTATGATGTAGTTCCGGTGTGGGAAACTTTACAATGGTTTGAAAATCCATGTTTAATCTTATTTATGACATTTAAAATTTCAAAAACAATACAATTTAGCATATTTATAAACATTTGAAAAATACTGAAAATAAAATGTCTAGATAACTTATTACAAGATGCACTATTTTTAGAACTTGAAATTAATTTTTTTCTTTATATCAATGCATCTCAAGATCTAGATGATTAATTGGAAGGTTTCCCAACTTTGGGACACTCTTAACACTTTTTTTTTTTAAAAAAAAAGAAATTTCAAAATACTCTTTTCTACTAGATTTTTAAGGTGCACCGTACTTCTATAGTATAAGGTAGCAACCTTATATAAACTTTGTTGTTAGATGATGGCAACAATATCCTAGTAATATACATTTAGTATCTCAAAACATCAAATACGATAGTTATTTATTCTTTAGATCAGTCATCATAATTAAAAGAAAGAGCTATGACCATCATCTCTCAGTTTCCATAACTTTACTCACATCAAATATTTGTGTAGAGAAAATATTATGCATTTAAATATCTAATTTCAATTAATTTGTACACCTTCTGATTTTAAATCAATCAATCCTTAATAAATAAATAAAATAAAAGAAAAAACTTTCTTTTTATTTTCAAATGGAGTAGGTGGCTTCTGAAGCCACTTTGTGGGCTCCCAATGGGCCCCTACACATCAAAGTATATTTGAGATGGATAAAAAGAATTTTGAAAAACTAATAGTTTTTTTTTTTCTCTCTGAATTAAATAAATTTCAAAAGATTAAAATTTACTTATTTAAAAATATTTTCACTAAAATAAAATATCCACAAAGATCTTTTCAAGTCATGACAATTTTATTAGAGCATGAACACCAACAATCATGGCCGCCCCTGAAACTTGATTTTTCATATCCATTCTATCGAACGGATACTAGCAGTTCAGCTAGGGTTTCAAATTTATCTCTGAACGCACTTTGCAGGACCACATGTTAAAATATTTCTTTTACCCTGTTTCATAAAAGAGGCAATGAAAAAAAACCCCTCTCCCTCTCTAGATTTGCAGGTTCTCTCTCTGCAGCTCATCCCCATCGCTCGATTTGCTACGGGTGAATTTCATCCATGTTTCATCTCAATTGCTCGATCTGCAGCTGATGGATTTTATCATGTGTTTTATCTCAATCACTTGATTTGCAGCATTCTCTCTCTCTCTCTATACCGACTTCTTTGTCTAAATCTTATAAAAAATCAGTACCCAACCCAAACAATCCATCTTCTTCTTTCCAATACTAAGCCAACGTATACATCTTCTTCTCTGCAATTCAAACCACCCAACCTCCCAAAAACCAGCTCAAAAGCCTACCAAGATAGCCCAAAAATTGTATTCATCTCGTTCTTTATTTCGACTTTTCATACTTCCCTCTCCTGAAGGTCTGTGTCCCATATTCACTATTCTCTCTTGCTAAACTCTTTCTCTGACTTGTTTTTTCCTTATTTTCTCATTCTCTACTCATATCCCTTTCCTCATGGAAGACCCAAGCCGCTGTTTTAGATAGAGACATCATTATTTGGGGTGATGGGAGAAAGTATTAGAGAGCCCAAGCCTCTGTTTTAGAGAGAGACATGGTGGTTTAAGGAGATGGGAAAAATATCCTCTAGACACACATAGCAGTTTGGGGAGAGAGGAATGGGTCTTGTAGAGCTCGCTAAGAGAGAGATGTTTCGATGGGGGTTTTGTGGGTTTGCACAAGAAACGATGAAGCCAAAGCTAAAAACTGACGAAGAAATTGAATCACGCAAATCTAAGTTAGAGCTGAATTTTGTAGGATTTCAGATAATTGATTATGAATAATGATCCTATGGGAGGGACCCTACCTCACCTTCTTGTATTGGACCGTGTGGGTTTGTTCAATCAAACAAGTCACAAGCCCTTTTTTGTATTTTTTAAGATCAAGAGCATTATACATTTTGCCTGATATATTGCCGAGTCGTCAAACATACCCTTATAGATTTCTAGACTAAATGAAGTTCATGGCCCTCATTTGAAAGTTGGATCTCCTTTATTGCAGCAATTTGACTACATTAACTCTTTTTTTTTAAGAAGAAGAAGAAGAAATGGGCGATTCGAGTCCCAGACCACTCATTTCTTTGACAAAAAAAAATAAAACATAGTCCGAGGATGGGGACCTCGGACAGCTCTCTGGACTGTGCTCTGCTCAGTTCTAGAGCGGTCTGAGGTTCCCATCCTCGGATCGCACATCCTTTAACAAAGACGAGAACACAAAGGGTCTGAGAATGGCGACCTCGAACTGCTCTTTGGACTAAGAGAGCTTAGTTCTAGAGTGAATCCAAGGTCTCCATCCTCGAACAGCTCATTTCTTCAACAAATTAAGGAAACAAAGGTAGACTTAGGATGGGGCCTTGGACCGCTCTCTGGACTGAGCAAAGCTTAGTTCTAGAGCTGTCTGAGGTCCCCATCCTCAGACTGCTTATTTCTTTAACAAATAAGAGATCAAAGGTGATCCAAGGATGGGGACATTAGACTGCTCTCTAGATTGAGCAGCGCTCAGTTCTAGAGCGGTCCAAGGTCCCCATCCTCTGACCACTTATTTCTACAACAAATAAGATATTAAATGCGGTCTAAGGATGGGGAACTCAATCGCTCTAGAACTAAGCTCTGCTTAGTCCAGAGCGGTCCAAAGCCCCCATCCTTGGACCGTATATTCTTTAGGAAAAAATAAACAAGATCAGTCTAAGAATGGTGACCTCAGACCGCTCTTTGGAGTGAGCAGCGCTCAATTCTAGAGCAGTTTGAGGTCCACATCCTCAGACCGCTTATGTTTAGTACTTATCACCAAGAAGTAATGAAAAATTTTTCACCTCATTTCAAGGGGTTACTTTTTCAAGGGGACATCTGATAAGGGAAGAAATAAATGATCACGAAAAAACTCAACCATAAGAAATAAATGATCACGAAAAAACTCAACCACAATATACATGGAGCTTTGTACATAAAAATTTTGCATCTATGAAATAAAATGAAATTTGCACATTACAAACCAAATTCATTACATCCATCTATGGAATGATGTAAATACAACTTTAGAAGGTTCAAACAAGTACATGTGCATTAGATTAAGAGTAACTAAAGGATCTCTCGTCGATAGGTACAAATATTATTAAAACACAAGCCTTATTATTTGAACTAACATGGATGGACTCCCTGAATTCATCTGGTATGGGATGGAAGTCACTCGAATAAGCCATCTTATAAGCTTCTATATAGAAATAAGGAGGGCAAAACGGCGTTATAGGAAGGCGATTGTAGTTTATAACGGTAATAGCGTGACTGCAGGACAACCCATTGTTCTTCCATACCAAGCACGAGAAAAACCAATGATTCATATCCACGACATATCTGTTATCTTCAACGATCTTGCATTGCATTGCATTGCATGCCAGACACCCCTCGAACATGGTGCAAAAAGCGCAATCGGTCGATCCGCATGTCATCTTTTTTTGTACAGACGACATTAGAATGTCGGTACACTTTTATGCCTTCCACCTTCTCTTTGCAAACATCTTCATCTACCTCAGTCTCAGTCTAATGCTTTTACGTAATACAATGATCGGCTTGTCTCAGTCAACTAGTATCCAACTATTGAATACCTCTACAAGATTTGACCTGAGTTGTTCATATCTGGGAACAGGAAGATGCACATTCACCAGCAATGACTTGGATTCTTCATTATCCAATCGTAAGCATCAACATCAGCTTCCTAGACTTTGGACATCATGTCCTCGAAATCGTCACTTCTCAGTGCATTGCATGGGGAGCTTTATAAGCACAGGGTTCTTCCATCACCTTTTGAGTTTCTCTGTCATATGGGGCATGGAAAACTGTAGATAATAGTATGGGAAAACGCACTGGATTACTTCTAACCAACCTTTAGAAGGTCTGAAATAATTGTCAAGTGAGGCAAGTCTTTCCTTTTGTTGAAACGCTCCCACAAATAGTTAAGAAACCAATCCCACAGCTATCACCACTCTCTTATCTCCACAATGGCTAGTGTAATGGGGAACATAGCACCATCGGCATCTGCGTCAATAATCACCAACAGTATCGCCTTGTATGTCCCCTTTAGGAACATGTCATCCAAGACTAGACTACAAGAGGCTTACAACCATACAGAAATTGGTGCATTCATGGATGAAAGCATAGGAATATACGTTGAAATTTGTGGAGAGGATCTGTCAGTATTTACCCTACATTTTGGGGGTTGGTGAGTCGTATGTTCTCTAAGTATAGGGATAGCTCTATATACGATTGCCTATGTGACCTATGTATCATTTCAATCGTGAACTTCATTTTCCTGCCAAGCTTGCATGTGTATCAATGGGATACCATGTTCGCGTGAAACATCATTCACAATATCTTTTGAAGTGACATCTATCTTGTCAATCAGACAGGCTTTAATTTTTATGGCAACCCATTGGCTATGTTCTCAAGGTTGGCTATGTTCTCAAGGTTGATGAGCCCTTCCAAATGGACTCGTACATGTGTGTCTTTTTCTATCTTTCTCACATTAAAATATTTAAAGGGCGTAACCTTAGCGCAGCAAACTTTCCATCTTTAACCCTCTCCAGCACAGGTCGCAACTATGCACTCTTGATCGTTTCTCTTGTACTTTTTAGATAAAATTTTGACATATGACATAATCAACTAAGTTATTATGGAGTGCCCTGACATTCTCAAAATATTGTGACATGCAAATCAACTCGTATGCGCATTGAAGTATTTGGAATTAATAATA